CTCTCTCTCTCTCTCTCTCTCTCTCTCTCTCTCTCTCTCTCTCTCTCTCTCTCTCTCTGAACAAATATTATGTTATGTTGTTGAGGTCACTGAACACCACGCAGTAAGAGTGGCACACCAAAAAGTCGATCAGGTGCGCCATTTCTCCTTATGAATGAATCATTCAGAAGGACTCATTCAATATTTGTTCATAATTTTTGATTGTTTTTCAAAATACTAATATCATTTCGCTGATGATTTTATTTATTTTCTTGATTCTAGGCTCACGCTCACGTAGCGGTAGCGCTGTTTCGAACCGAAGTGGATCTGCAAGGAGCCGAAGTGGTGGTAAGTGGTTTGGCTCAGCACATGTTTGTTGAAAGCATTCATTATCTTCACGAAGTTGAATTGTAGATTACTGATTCAATTTTCACAAATTTCATTCATAGGCTCACGTTCTCGGTCACGCAGTAGAAGTGCTGCGTCAAATAAGTCAAATAAGTCAAATCAATCAAATCGTTCGAATCAATCGAATCGATCACAGCGCTCCAATCGTAGTCGCAGTGGCTCTGTGAAAAGTAGAGGTAAAACCTGTTGATTCTTGTTCATGATTTAGATGTATTGAAGCATGAATTGTGTATTTTCTCATTGATTTCGAACCAATGTCAATATGTTTTTGCTTTTATTCCAGGTTCTCGTTCACGTTCACGTTCTAAGAGTGGCAGCCCACAGCGAGCAAGTAAAAGTCGGAGCCGTAGTCGAAGTGGCTCTGTTAAGAGTAGAAGTCGTTCAAGTGAGTGATTTTTTTTTGTTATTGGTTTATTTTATATTGCCTTTGTGTGGGAATGCTTGAACAAAACATGTGTTATCAATTATGTGCCATTTAGAATCAAGATCGCGTTCACGCAGCGGAAGCCATGCATCGAACCGTAGTCGCAGTGGATCGCGCCGAAGCCGAAGTGGATCACGACGCAGTCGAAGCCGCTCCCGACGAAGCCGAAGTGGCTCTGCACGTAGCCGCAGTGGATCGGCAAAAAGTAGAAGTCGAAGCAGAAGTTCGGGTAATTTGCAATGTTGCCCATTCAATTAAATGTCTATTAAGAAGTGATTAGAGACAGTATACTAATCAATCAAATTGCAGGTGGGTCCCGGTCACGGTCAGGCTCAAGATCTCGTTCCCGTTCTCGTTCACGTAGTGGCAGTGCTGTTTCACTCAGAAGTGGTTCACCAGTGAATCGCAAAAAGCGTGCCGTTCTAAGTGATTCAGAAGATAAAGGTAAAAAAATCTGAATTTATTTGTCCAATAAACACAAAATAATACAAAATCTTCTCGAAAATCGAAGGTGCCGTATCACAGCAACTGAAGCGAGCCAAGATTATTGACTCTGATAATGAAGATGAGGTGCCAGGTGGCGAAGGCGATGGAAACGAACAAGTTGAAAAGCCAGATGATGGAGGAGAAAGTTCAGATGAAGGTGTTATGCATACTGCGGCCGGCACAAGCACAACTTCAACTGATTTTGGGACAATATCACATAGATCGGATTTTGAGAAGCAAGTAGACATAATTATGGTATTTGTAAATAACTTGAAAAAAATTGACGGCGAAACCAGATTGGATGCTATTGAATCGAATCGTAAATGTCTTGCATCAGAACTCGACCATTTGTTTAAAATGACTGTGTATGCCAAACAATTAATGTCTAAACGTGCAAAAATGGAATTGAATGAATTAATGGAAATGATTAGAATCACCTACATAGACGATCCAATCATTGATGATTTTGGAGATAAAGGAGTTGAACGATTGTGTGATATGCTGGAAGGTTTAAGGGAAAAGGTCTTTAATGTCGTGCAATCGTAATTAGTTTTATAAAGTCTACATAACAAAACGATTCAACTATATTCCAATGTCTTGTAATCAGATGAATAACACTTACTTGACCGATAACTGAGAGAACATATAACAATAAAGCTGTAAATTTTTTAAATAACTTCTGTTAGACTGTACCAAAATTGAAGAAATAAATCATTAGGAGTTAAAAATAAGTTTATGTTTTAAATAAAATGTGATTCAATAGCAAAATAAATTCATTTGTGGCAATTTTATTAAAGTAAATGTCTATTTTTGAACATTGGTTTTTTTTTTAAATTTAAACAACCATCGAATTGTCGACTCTCTGCACAGGGTGATGAAAAGTTTTGTGAATGAATACAGTTATCAATTGTGTGTGAATTGAATGCAATTGATTCATGCATTGCTGTATGTAGTACTACTATTACTACTACTTATTTAAAGCTACAAAAAATTAGAGCTATGGAAAATCAAAAAATTTCACTGTCGTTTTTTCGTCGACTTTATTTAATATGAATTGAAAAAAGCAACAGATTTTAACATTGTTTTTACTATATGTCTAAGCATAGTTTGCAAAATGTTCATTATTCGGTTAGCAATTGCCCTGCCTTGACTTCATCGTTTGAGAGGAAAAATCTGGAATTAAAAGCGAATAAAATGCAATCAATTGAATGAGATTAAACTTTCTATTGATTCTAACTTTACCATTTTCGGCAAATTTAAATGAGGACAAAAGGGACATTGGCGCGTCATCACTTGGTCTTTAACCACTTTTGTGTACAATTTGTCGCATTTGTTGCACTGATAATATGCATGCTGAATGTCGAACGTCTCCATTTCAATGTCTTGTAGGTGATTTTCCAGACTCCAAAACCTTGATGCGTGATCACTGTGAGCCAAAATTCAATTGGAGTGTTTAAGTTGACAAATGCATTTAACACAATGAAACGATTCAACCCATGCCTGCAGCTCAAGTCAAAACAAAATAAAGCAAACAACAGTGTAGGTTTGGATAAGTTCAGAGAGCAGTGTCAGTGTTTTAACCTACTGTAAATATGCGAAAGTGAGCAGTGCCCATTGAGCACTTGTCGATTTATTTTATCCAAACAAACATTTCGATCGAAAAATCAAAATTGCTGATGTTGACCACTTGGCAATCGCTTCAATTGAACATCAATCGCTTCAACTGAAAATTGATTTAGTGTTATGAAAATCGGTTTGAAATGCTTTTAATGTGAATTGAAATGATAACGAACAATCTTGAATCAGCACATACAATCTTTCAGTGCATGTTGTGAAAAGTTGAAAAAATTTTTGAATAGAAAACAACGGCAACATTGATTTGAATGTTCTTTATTCAGCAAAACTATTGCTACACTCAATTGATTCCAATTGATCTTACCTTCTGACTTCAACGTCATTTATTTTCACCTATTTTGCAACAGGAACGAAACTTAAAACGATACACTTACCTTTTGTATGGGTAATAATTGGCGATTCTACTGCCTTAGTTTGACTCACCTTACTTACTCTTTGGTACGATAAATAAAGAAAATTCATAGAAAAAAGTTTCATCGAATAGACAAAATAAAATTTGCAGAGTAGGATGTAATTCAAATCGCTTGAAAATTGCTTTTTTGCATCAATTCCCACACGAGGATTGGACTTTATTGAGAAACTATGACTCTTTCAAAAGCAAAACAATGATTTTATTTTCAATTCCATAGCTTCCATGGTATACTGTATGTAATAATCCATTTTTTGCATCCAATCGCATGTTCACTGTAGAGTTCGTTGTCTAAAAGACCCGCTCACCTGAAATCAAAAACAATGTTTGAAATGACCAAATCGAATTATCCGTCGTATATTTTTCCTCGTTACGTTTTTCTTCGGTTGGTTTGTTGTATTTTCCGCAGCAAAGGCACAAACGCATTTTCGTTTCTTCAGTATTCGTTGTTTGGTATTCAAAACTGCAGTTCACGCATTCATAGTATGCAATCCACACAAATGCCATTTTCAATGATTTCTCTTCGATGAATTGAGTGAAATGTTGGCGTCGGTTCTGTCTTGCATTCGTCCGCACGATATGTCGACTGAGTCAATATCGATGAATACCAAGTATTTATAATGATGCGAAAAGAATCATTTAAACCGCATAAGAAAATATTGATAAAACTGAGTCACAAGTAAAACGAAGTAAAACAAATGGAATTCCTGTGGAATGTTGTCAGCGTAAATATTTACGTGATGGTCAAGCACTTTGAGATCAAGTAATTGCGTCTAAACGAGAACACAATTTAATGGACTTTTTTCAAGAATTAGCGCTATTCCTATTCGAAATTCAAATAAAACATTTCACTTTGGTTGAGCTCATTGCCGATGTTTTGTATTTATTAAAATTTTCCGGACACAGATTTCAATTTCTATTAGTCATCGCATCAATCTTAATAAATCTTCAATAAAATTCAATTGCTTGGGTATCAATCATCGTCCATCATGCCAAAGAGTACAGTACACTTTTTTCTGAAACGAAAATCACCCAGTTTTTACTTGTTTATTTTATTATTATAATGTTGTTTATTTTATTTAACTAATTCGTTATGAATTTTTCTTTAATTTTTAATAATAGAAAATTGAATTCGTGTGATCACCTCGGTATTTGGAGAGTTGAAAGTTGGACATTGCAAACACTTTCTACGAGCTTCTTCGCTTAGGTTGACCGTTTCATAGTGTCTTCCGCACGTTGTGCAAGTATAAGTTGCGTGCCACATTACATCAGGTCCTGGATATGTCATATTTCAACGATTGACGTTCGAATATAGTATGTCTCTGTTACGACAAAAATCACTCCAAAATAAAACTAAATTTCAAGCCCGAAACTGTCTTCTCAAACAGGCCTCGTTCAATTGCAAAACGTGAATGAATGGACGGAATCGAAATAAAAACAATTCAGGTAAATATCGTCCATGGAAAAGTGCATTTTAAACGGCAACAGAAATGAATTCAGTTTTTGTCCAAGAATAAACAAACATTTACACGCAACTAACGTCTGTGAATATCGAATGATTTTATTTGTAAATAAACCAAATTGTTTTGACCGTTTTCATTTTGCAAAGACGTTAATTCTTTTCAACTCGCGGAATGCACGGTTGTTATTCAATTCAATGCTGATTACATATGAGATCGGAATTTTTCCAAGAAATGTGATTAATCGTTATTGATGAACAGTGGGTTTTGTTATGGACTTCATTTGGTGTCAACAGATAATTTTTTCACCGAAAGAAACATGAATATCGTTTTGCCGACCCGTACAAAAGAATTATTTAGAAATATGTATGAAGGAAAAAAAAACGTATAGTGCACCCACCCAAACACAGCATTTGCTTTATTCGAAATCCTTCCAAAACAAAATAAACATAAATTTAATGAAATAAAACATTTGTAATCTTTATTAAAAGCTTTGAGTTTGGTCAATGGTCAATAATTGTTTTCCTTATCTTTTTGCTGAGCTCTTTAGGTTTAGTGATGAGAAATGTAAGTAAATATAAATTGGAAAATTGTGGAAGCACATAAATTGAATAAAATGGTTCCACATATTGGTTTAAGCTATGCAACATCAATCCATTGATATAAAAAAAAACGATCGAGCGAATATAGTCGTAGACCGGATCAATTTCCCTTTAAATTCCGATTCAACTTTTACCTAAGCAGCTTGGACAGATTTTTTGTTGGTCTTTGGTCTTATTATTTATCAATACAAACTTTTTAACGCAAATCTTGCAAATGTTTTATGCGCCCCAGTGGCCAGGCGCGGTTAATTCACAGATTGTTTTTGACAAAAACTTTTTATTCGAGACTTGACTTCACAGTTTAACTGATTCTGAAAAACGAGACAACGCAATTGTTTCTGCTCCAAAAACAATATTCTGCCCTAAAGACTACTCAAGAATCGCTTTTCAATAACAAAAAAAATATTACAGAAATATTTTCATGAACATAATTTTCGCTGAGTGGTATTTCGAATGTTTGCCATTTCAACATTTGAATTTCGTACAAAAATTGATAAGGCAAAGAAAACTTTGGAAGGGTATAAGAAAAAAACACTTTGGTTTTTACGCGGCTATGAAATTCATACTGACGACAATATTCGACCTGCCTCTAGTGGTCATACACATAACATACGTTGAGCAGTCGATATATACACACAATACAGACACGCTAGCATAAGATTTAAACGGTTTGCGCGAATGGCTACTTGATTATTGGCCATTTATACGCTAATGTGATTGAAATCTTCAACTATCACCACAAGCGTCGTGTCAGTAGAGCTCGTCTTATGTTTACATTGGAAATACGTGTTATTGTTGTTGTAGCTTCATCGCCGTGGGTTTTTACAAATATCTTGCCAATGTACTTGTTGATTTATTTCGTGTTTCATTGTGACAACACTTGCTCATTTGGGCTATTTTGATGAAGGCCATTTTAAATTTGATTCAAATAAACGACAACATTTTGGCATTACCGAATAGGATTGCGTCACTTATCGAGTTGGAAATCTGATTCCGTCACTTATCGAGTTGGAAATCTGATTCCGTCCATGAAACACATCTGCACAAAAAAATGAAGTAATTTAGAACAGTTTGTTAGAATTTTGTTTGCACAAAAACAGTTGAAATTGGAAAACATTTTAAAAAATGACTCACCTCTTGGCATGGTATATTGTAAGCCAAGCATCGATAACATTGACGCATTTGTTGAGCTTCACAATTGATCGTTTCGAACGATTTATTGCAACCGCGACAGATGTAAAGTGCTCTGCAGCGGTAGTCCCACATTGTACTTGAAGTTTTATTTTTATTCGGTTGCCAGCGAATCTTCGCGGAAAAAACTTTAATATTTAATACTTGACGCTAAAAACTGAACTAAAGAAGCGCTGGCAATGATAAACCGTATTCCCAATGAAGTAACGAAAAATATTTTCAACTGAATATGACAGTGAATGTGTTATGGTGCGACATTGACACTGGTTTTTTATTTATTCAACGATGTTTTCGATGGATTCGCTATTTGGTTACATCAGATAATCTTACATTTTTATTTCCAAATAAATTTTTCAACTCAACGAATGACAAATATTTGTTTAACGTTGAAATTCGGGTTAATCGAGCTAAACTGTAGGTGTTGGTCGAACGTTTGACTTATCTGAAAGCTGGCGGTCATGTTCATTGACCTTTCTTTCGTACAAAAGTGCTGAGTATATTGAAAAAAATAGTCTCTTCTGCTATCGGCTATCGTTTGATAACGATCGATCAAAACTTACGACTGAATATGTACCAATCAACTTTATACGATTGCATCAACATTGCTGACGTTTATTTGCGATTTCAACGAATAAAATCGGAACAAAAATCATAAATAAAATCGTTTCTGTTTGTAATGCATCGAGTAAATGGGTACAAAAGTTTGAAAGAGATGATTCATCTAAGATGAAGAAAAAAATACTTTCTTTTCATGCGTGGGTCGAGTGTTTGTAAACTATCCTGGAATTTTAGACGAATTGAATGTGAACGAAATTGAATAAAATGAGTTCTAAATCAAACGAACTATGCCAACGAAGCTGGAATAGTCACATGTCATCAAGTTACATTCAAAACTTCTTTGTTTTTTTTAAGTAATTCAGCTTAAGTTTCTCTTCTCATCCTCCTCTCCTTCACTCTCTCTACGCTTGTCTTAATGTGCAAACTTGCCTTAAATCTTGATACTTATAAGTTTTCTAACAGACATGGAGAAAACCAAAACCAAAACCAATGCATTTCGCGGATAGATTTAAAAAGTCAAAGACAACAAAGTTAAATTTCAGAGAAAATTATTTATTATTTCTATTATTATTTCATTACAATTTTCGCTAAATCTATTACAAAACTAAAAATAAGCTTATGAAACTCAATGTGTGGAACAGACAACTATATCTTTGACTTTTGAATGAGGTAATGTTCAAATTTTTCGTCTAAAATTATTTTAGAAATTCTTTTTGGCACGATTCAATGTAACACAATGTTTAGCGTCCATTTGTCCCCGCCAGCCTGGCAACCGCTCCATTAATCCGACGAACGACGTTGGGCATTCGAGTGTGAAGCGAAATCGTTTTAGAGTTTTAGATTTGTTCACGAAACGAAGAGCTTGACGACCTGTGAATTCGAATGATGTTATATCAACATCGGTGAGTGATGGTAGTTTATCTGTAATCCGATCCTTTTCTGCTTCACTCAAGTTGGTTTTGTGCCATTCACGAATGTTTTTTAAAGTTAATTTTGTAATCGATGGATGTCTGTGGATGAAATCGAAAAATAATTCTCCAATCCTTTCATCCGATTGGAAGGTAAAGTTTTTGAGAGCATCAAATTTAAAGGGAACTCGATGTTTATTCGCTGATAATTCAAATGAATTCAAATGAAGCCGAAAATCCTTCACACTGTCGAAACGAATAATAGATTTTGAAAATAATTCTTCATCTTCATCCACCTCATTTAGCAGACGCAGTGGAAAGGGTTCGCAGAAACAATCAATTTGAAAAGTGTGAAGATTTTGCAACACATTACTTGCTCCTTTCAAAAATTGTCGATTAAAGTCCCAGTGAATGTGAAGACTTCTCAAGTTTGGGTTCATCTTTATTGCGTTCGAAACATTTTCTTCTCCGAATCCGAATTTCCCCTTCGTCACGCTGAGATTCGTGGCAAGGTGTTCCAAATGTGGAAATTGTGTTGCGATACATGCACGATCTGACACTTCGTTGAAACCATCAAACTCCAAACTCCGTAGATTCGGGAACCAATCGTTCAATTGCCTTGTTTCATATCCCAAATTGCAGTTGATAAAACGCACTTTTTCCACATTCGTAAATGTTTTTCTTAAATCAGCAAAGGTTTTTCCCGAACACGATGCAAATGTGATTTCAACCAAAGATTCTGTACAGAATGCACTGACGTACTGATTAATGTAGGTTTGATACTTTTCATCAACCAAAAGGTATGAAATCTCCAATTTGAAAATCAGATGACCGAAGCAACGAAGAAACTGCAA